CTAAAAATAGTTTGTTTTCAATAGTATCACGGTATATATCTAATAATAAATTCGTTAAGACTACGGTCTTTCCCACACCTGAGTTGGTTCGTCTTCTCCATCATCATCTTGTTGTCTAACTTTATCAAACAGAACCTCAGCATCAATCAGTAGTTTCATTGATTTTGCTTGTTGTAAAAACTCTGTTAGTTTCTTTTCTTGCCATAAAAGATATGTTAATTCTTTGTATCCCTTGAATGTTATGTTGGATATTGAATATGTGTTGGCGTACCCTTTCAATGCTGAAAATGTCTCTGATGTTTTTGCTCCTATTTTTAATCTGTATTTCTGGATTGTTTTAATGCCTCTCATTGTGTTTGATGCTTTTTTTAGAAGATGAAATCGTTTGAAACCTTGTGTGTTGCTGACTTGATTGAGTTTGTTTTGAAGTGATGAGGATAATGGCTTTTCTTTGTTGTAATAGTATTCCTTTGTTGTTGATGATTAGTTTTTTCAATGGTTTGTTATTCTTCCCTGTTTTTGTTTGACCTTCATTGTTGGATATTAGATTTTCAATTACTGAACCCGTGCTGTATTCCCCTGCCATTTCTCTATACTATATAAGGTATTTTCTCTTTAAGTGGTTTTGTTTATGTTTGGTGGTTATGGGATTGGGGTTGGGTTCAACATTGAAAACAGTCTGGTTTGAGCTCAACCTTGAAATGTGGGTTTGGGGATGAGTTTTTGGGGGGAAGCGACCCCCAAATAAAGCATCACGAAGACACTGGTTTTCGTGATGACCTATCACGGGTTTTAGTGATAACAACGCACGGGTCTTCAAGGTTCGTGATAATGTATCACGGGTTTTAATTGTTCGTGATAATATGATTAAACACTTGTATCCCCCAGAAAGCTTAAAAATGTCTGAAACCTGAACCTTGAAAATGTCAAATGTTAGACTGTTATTAAATGAAAAAATTGTAAAAAATTGTTCAGAAATGACCCTTGAAAATGTTTAAAGAAAAGACCCCTTAATATAGTAGGAATAAATGACCGACGAAATGAAACAATGCTCTAAATGTAAAATGAAAAGGACACTTGATAATTTTGAGAACACCAAGAAAAACCGTAATAAATGTTTAGAAACAAGACGAAGATATAGACAAAAACATAATGATAAGATAAGTCAATACAATAAAGAATATTACCAAGAACAGAAAACTGAATTGTTAATCAAATCAAAAGAAAAGAGGAAATAAGAATATGTAGATTGCGTCTACTGTAATGCTATAATAAAGAAATATGATGTAGGCAGACACGTTAATATGGATAGAATACATAATAAAACTGACACATAACAATAAATCGTTCATTCATATTAACAACTTATAATATGATTTACACTTGTATCCCCCAGAAAGCTTAAAAATTGTCTGAAACCCGAACCTTGAAAATGTCAATATCTTAGACTGTTATTACATGAAAAAATGTAAAAATTGTTCAGAAATTTTAGAAAAATCCCCACAATCAACCTTGGTGTTTTGAACAAAATGGTTTGCTTGTTGAAAAGTGGTGTTGAACCCTGAAACCCTGAACTGAAAATACCCTACCTCAGAATCAATCTTTTAACCATTCCCCCCCCCCCCCCCCGTCGTTCTTTTTTCTCCTTTTTCCTCCCTCCCCGCTTCATCCTGTGCTTCCTCTTCGCCCGTTAAGGGATGGCCTGTTCTTCCTCTCGCTCTTCAACTTCGCGGTGCTCCCCGTCTTCGAGGTTTAGGAGGGTTTTCGGGACTGTTTGGGGTTTTTGCCCTTGTCGGAGACCCTAAACTTGGTTTCCCCTGTTTTTTGCCCGCGGTGACCCAACGTGGGGCTTTCTGTTTCTTTGCTTTCTTGCTCCGTTTGTTTTCCGTCGGGGTCTTCATCCGTCTTTCGGACGCGTGTTTCTTTGGGTTGCCCCTCCGGAAAAAACTGAGCTTCTCGCCCCTCTTTGAGGGGCGTGTGTGTGCGGAGTCCCAGATGTACCCTGAGACCACTTCAGCAGGGGGCACAGGCCCATGGTGGCGACCCTGTGCCAACGACGCTAACCACCATGGGGGAAGCGCGGACTGATCATCCGTGTGTACCTGCATATGAGCCCAAGTCGTGATGTTTGGCTTTGTTGTTTTTACCGACCACTGGCTCCGATAGTGTGGTGTTTTGTTTCTGTTTGGTTTTGAATGCGCGTCAGCTTGTCTCGAACTTGCCCCTCCCCTTCTTGCTCGATTTACCCGAACTTCGTGTCTAACCACTTGTGGGATTTAAGTGTGTGTGAGTGTGTGTGTGTGTTTGTGTGTGTGTTTGTGTGTGTGTGTTTGTGCGTGTTTGTGTTTGTGTTTGTGTTTGTGTGTGTGTTTGTTTGTGTGTGCGTGTGCGTGTGCGTGTGCGCGTGTGCGTGCACGTGTGCGTGTGTGTGTGTGTGTGTGTGTTTGTGTGTGTGCGTGTGTTTGTGTGTGTTTGTGTGTGCGTGTGTTTGTGTGTGTGTTTGTGTTTGTGTTTGTGTTTGTGTTTGTGTGTTTGTGTGTGTGTGTGTGTTTGTGTTTGTGTTTGTGTGTGTTTGTGCGTGTGTGTGTTTGTGTGTGTGTGTTTGTGTTTGTGTGTGTGTTTTTGTTTTTGTTTGTGTTTATGTTTGTGGGTGTGTTTGTGTTTGTGTGTTTGTGTGTGTTTGTGTTTGTGTTTGTGTTGTGTTTGTGTTTGTGTTTGTGTTTCTGTTTGTGCTTTGGTGTTTGTATTTGTGTGTGTGTTTGTATTTGTGTGTGTGTTTGTGTTTGTGTTTGTGTTTGTGCGTGTGTGTGTTTGTGTGTGTGTGTTTGTGTTTGTGTGTGTGTTTTTGTTTTTGTTTGTGTTTATGTTTGTGGGTGTGTTTGTGTTTGTGTGTTTGTGTGTGTTTGTGTTTGTGTTTGTGTTGTGTTTGTGTTTGTGTTTGTGTTTCTGTTTGTGCTTTGGTGTTTGTATTTGTGTGTGTGTTTGTATTTGTGTTTGTGTTTGTGTTTGTGTTTGTGTTGTGTTTGTGTTTGTGTTTGTGTTTGTGTGTGTTTTTGTGTTTGTGTGTGTGTGTTTGTGTTTGTGTGTTTCTGTTTGTGCTTTTGTGTTTGTATTTGTGTGTGTTTGTATTTGTGTGTGTGTGTTTGTGTTTGTGTGTGTGTTTGTGTGTGTGTGTGTGTGTTTGTGTGTGTGTGTTTGTGTTTGTGTGTGTGTTTGTGTTTGTGTGTGTGTTTGTGTTTGTGTGTGTTTGTGTTTGTGTTTGTGTTTGTCTTGTTGTTTGTGTTTGTGTGTGTGTGTGTTTGTGTGTTTGTGTGTGTGTTTGTGTTTGTGTTTGTGTTTGTGTGTGTGTGTTTGTGTTTGTGTTTGTGTTTGTGTGTGTGTGTTTGTGTGTGTGCGTTTGTGTTTGTGTTTGTGTTTGTGTGTTTGTGTGTGTGTTTGTGTTTGTGTTTGTGTGTTTGTGTTTGTGTGTGTTTGTGTGTGTGTTTTTGTGTTTGTGTGTGTGTTTTTGTTTTTGTTTGTGTTTATGTTTGTGGGTGTGATTGTGTTTGTGTGATTGTGTGTGTGTGTGTCTTTGTGTGTTTGTGTGTTTGTGTTTGTGTGTGTGTGTGTTTGTGTTTGTGTTTGTGTGTGTGTGTTTGTGTTTGTGTGTGTGTGTTTGTGTGTTTGTGCGTGTGTGTGTGTTTGTGTTTATGTGTGTGCTTGTGTGTGTATGTTTGTGTTTGTGCTTGTGTTTGTGCCGTTAAGGGGAAGATCTTGAAACTTGGCAGTAGCGCTGCTACTGGTCACGTTGAGCTCCGCGTTGATGCCTTCCTTCTCCTTCCTGAGTGCACCGCGCTGCTTGTCAGAGAGCGTTTTCAGAACTTCCACCAAAAGCTTCTAGATCAAGAGGTTCGACATCGGCGGCGCGCGTTTCAGGGCGTCTGCAAGGCTGGCAGAAATTGCGCGGGCGTACTATGTCCTTGCTGGAGTAGCAGGCTGCAGGCTTCTGATTTGTTTTCTGCATCCAAAACCAAGTTCCAGTGGCGAGCAGTGGTTAAGATCAATCGTCAACGTCGTGATGTGGGTTTCTCCACGAGCTGCCCTGCTTCAGCTGAAATCTTGCGACGGATGCAACGAACTTAACCATAATAGACTTGGCGAAGTCGTTGTAGGTTGCCCCGTGTGGTTTGCTTATTGCAAGAGAAAATATTTGTGCCCTACCTGAAATCACAAAGCATCTTGACCAGCGCCAGAATGAAACGACGAACGTGGGAACATTATGATTCACAATAGTGGAGCAACTCAAGTCAAGATGATATCACAAGGGCTGGCCCCGGCACAATTTGGCAAACCGCGTGCGGTTTGCGCCGATGGGGAATGTATAAAAAAGGTAACATCATGCAGGTGTAGCGCGTGTCTGCTCACGCGTGCCTAGGCCGGCGCTTCTCATCTGTGTGCGCGTAGAGCTGTATGTCCTGAGGAACAACACATCCGCGAGCGAAACTGACTGACTGAAAGTCGCAAAAGTCGCAAATCACCCATGAGGGACGACTCAGGCACAAACAAATAGCTCTTCCGCTTGTCAGAAAGTTTTTGGATGGGATGGGGGTCCGGATGGATGGATGGCTGGATGGGCGGGTGCGTATGGAGGATGGATGCATGGAGCTGGATGGGAGAGATGCGTATGATTGGCACATGCTTCACATGCTTGGCATACTGCCTCACGCCGATCAGCTGAGAAAGAGCATCGGCTCAGGGATTGGCGGGGACCTCTTGGGTGGGTCAATGTCAAGTTTCTTTTTGGCAGCTGGTTGCTGGTGGGCTGGAAACCAGGGTTTTTGGGACTGGGGATTGGTTGTTTTGTGGCTTGCTACCACTATTTTCCATTTGCCCGGCGCAGACCAAGCTCACAGTTTGTGAACTGTTCTGTATGTATGCGCGTATCGTGCGTTTTGTGGAGTTGTTGCGAAATCGTCGCAACCCCAAGCGATGGGCTCTGGTTAGCCGAAGTTTGTGCCCAGGTTTGCCGCCCCTTATGCGGGAAAAGGAGGCACCAAGACCAGGCGCAGATTCGCAGATTGCAACCCTTGAAAGACAGGCGCAGATTGAACTCCCTGCAGGCCACCTGGCAAGTCTGCATGGGTCCCTGGCGCAAGGCAACAGGCCGGTCTTTGCGCAACACGCCGGATGTGTTTTCCAGTCATTGTGCATATGATGCAGCCCAACGCCAAGTTGGCAAAGTTGGCAGGAACGTTATCTAGGGAACTTGTAGATTGGAAGATTGGAGTGTGCACAGCCGGCCGCCAGTCTCACAGCTCCCGCTAAGCGGTGCCATAGAGTCAAATCACTCGCAAATGTCGACAGATCAGCTCACATTGGTAGAGCTCGAAGATAGGCTGTCGTGGATCAAAGTTTGGGACAGCCAAAGCTTGGTCTCAAGCCATGGAGACCCGTGCCGAAGCCCCAGCGGCACTGAACGATTTCATGTCTAGCAATGAGCATCAATGAGCATCGACCCCGAATCTCAGGCCTGACCATGGATCATTGCACTTCCGCGCCCAACTTGGGGATTGGTGCTCACCTCAGCCGTGTGCGGTCTAAGAGTCTAAGCCTTCTGTTCCTTTCCTGAAGTTTGTGCAGGGCGCGGTTCTTTGCTTCGGCGTCTGGCAGTTTGTGTTGACGAAAAGTGTCCATGTGATTCGTGCATGTGCCTGGCATGTGCCGCATGTGCGCGGGCCTGACAGCTGACAGGTCCCGAGCTGGGACTCGCCCTCAGCCCGGAGTCTCCGACCTCAGGCGCAGCCAGAGAAACTATCAACTATCGATACTATCGACGGCATCTCTGAGGCTCTTTGTTTTGATTCCTTTGGTTCCTGAGGCTCGGATGGCATTGAGGTGCGAGCCTCATGTTGCTTGCAGTCCGCTTGACAGGGGGGGTCCTCGGGGTGGCTCCAACGGAAACACAACTTGTGTAACACAACCTTGTCAAGGTTGTGGAACACAACCTTGTCAAGGAAGGTCCAGACTCGCTATGAATCCACTGGCACCAAGCAGAGCAAACAGAGTGGCCGAAACTGGTGGAATATGATTTGGATATGATGGGATCGTATGAATCGTTTGAATATTGGATTTGGATATATTTGGATATTGGAAGATTGCAGGCGCCACGCCGTAGAGGGAGGCAGGGCCATGGGCTCATGGCTCACTGCTTCGCCTCGCAACCGGAAGGCCCGTGGCAATGCTGGACTGTCGCTCCATCTCGCCAGAAGACAGGACGCAGGCAACGCAGGACGGGAGGGTCGGGTCGGGGAGGGTCGGGGAGGGCAGGAGCTTGCATCTCTTGTTCAGGACGTGGGTAGGATGCTCAGAGCAGCCAGATGCACAAACCGCTTGCCCCTTTTGCCTCACTCAGGTTTTCCTTTCGGCCGCAGTCCCCCGATGGCAGGCCAGAAGTTGGGCGACATGTTTGGCAGCAACACGATGACAAACCAGAGCGTAGAGCGGGCGGCGACAGCTATGCGTTGCTGTTGCTTTGCCGTTGATTTGTTGTTGCTTTGCTGTTCTGCAACTTGTTGTTTGCGCTTCCCCTGATAGCTTGTGAAGTCCAAGGTCGCCGCTCTCTTCAGGCAGTGCCGGAAGCCCCAACAAGCCGCTCCCCAAATCCGGAATCCCGCAAGTTTTGAGGGAACTTCGATCGAGCCGAGGTCCTCCGTCGAACGGCAGAGCAAAGCCCCGGCCTTGAACATGTGACGAAATACAATTTATTCGATTTGTACTAAGAAATTATTATGAACTATGAAGTAGTTATGTGATGAAACACTTATATAAGCAACATGTCTTCACTCCACAAAGTGTAGGACCATTTGCACGCTGAGGCCCCGGCTGGTTCTCTCAGGATCCTGGTCTTTGGTAGCTCGCAGACTCAGCGCGAAACGGAGAGAATCGGAGAGGGAAGGAAAGAGAAATTGAGACGGACAAAATGGTGCAAACGAGAGATTCGTGTTCTGTAAACTTGACCAAGCAGGCATCCTGTGCGATGGCGCCAAGGATTCCGCTCCTTTTCATGAAGGACCGGAATCTCCGTCTCCGGCCTGGTGCCCATTTCGCACACAGCCGGCGAGAAACAAGTGTGGTTGAGTTCTTGCTCAGGCCCGCGATGATTTCAAGCAACCTCAAGGGGGTGTGGCCGTGGTGTTTTTTGACTTTGTACCGCACTCAGAGTGCTGAACAGGATGCATGATGTGACCCGCGTGAGCGTGGGTCGAAGTAAAAACAAAGCACTTGTTCGTTATGTATGGGGTCATCCCTCGGATTGTTTTGTCCAAGCCATTGTAAGCCAACGCGGCAAAAGAGCGATCCTATTGCAATGCTACACCGAGCTTCGGAGTCAGCGGCCCTGAAACGAGCCGATACTCAGTCGGTACCCAACCGGTGCCGGGCAAATCCAACAACTGCCCGCCCAGCACGCAGTGTCTTTCATTTGCAATCACACCATTTCACACCGACTCGAGTTCCTCTTCCCAATCACCGAAGCTGCTTTTGAAACACGCGTATCAAGTCCTCGCCGCACTGCCTGCTGCCAGCGTTTCCTATGTGATTTCTGGCCATGTCAACAACTTATAGCGCAGTTAACTACTCGTAGCCCCCAAGACATTGTAAACCGATGCTGAGGAAAGACTTACCAACCGAAGGGTAGCCTATATTTTGACCCATGTGTGCAGCATCTCAGACGTGCGGTGTGGCGATGCGCGGGGGTTCGCCTTAGGACGGCACTCTGACTGCCACCCCGGGTGACCGAGCAGCCCGACGGACCAAGCATAGCGAGCTATGCGCGGGGGACCCATCGGGTCAGCGAATGGGGAAGTTCACTCAAGTTGCAAAGTCGCAAAGGTTGCTTCCAAGGCATGTCCTTTGAGCTAGGCCGTTTAAGGCTTTAACAGGCATAATATGGAATCCACGCCGTCTCGAGCCTCAAGCTCAGGAAAGAGCTGCCATGCTGGGTCCCCGTCTCAAGAGCCTGCCGTCCCGACCGATTTGAGAACTGAGCCGATGTCGTGTCACACGCCGCCTGTGCAAGCTCTTGCCAGGCGGGCCGATGGGGCTTCTTTGGGCATCATATCCAAAAGCACCGAGGCGCAGCAAGATTTAGAGTGACCGAATAAGGACACTAAAATAATATTTATTACATTATGACTGGAATGGAGACTCGTCCGAGTCCGGCCAGGGGACAATCAGGAACGCCCTGGAGGCTAGTGGCTTGTCGAAGCTTTTCGATGCGCCTCTTGTGGCCAAAGCTGCGGCCTTAGATCCGGGGACTCGACTCGCTCGACTCGCTCGACTCGCTCGACTCAGAGTGACGTTTGACAGGCTGTCGGCTTCGAGGGCAAGGCCTCGCGAACTGAGCAAGTTGCGAAGCAACATGAAGCGCAACATGAAGCGCATGCGAGCTACGCCTCTGAGTTTCTTTTTTCTCGCAGGCTGGCTTCATCGAAGACTTGGCTACGTCTCGCCGTCCCATTGGCTTTGGGCTCCCGGGCTTTGGGCTCCAGATTCCGCCAGGAAGGGCTGCCTCCCCAGATTGGGCTCGGCAAGAGGACACGGGGCACGGGCCCAAATGGGCCCAAATGGGCCCAGAGCATCCCCAAAGCGGGTTTTTTGTGTTTCACAAACTTGATGCTTTCAATCGCAAAATGCTTTCCCGAACAGGTTGCTTTCAATCGCATCTTGCTGGTTGACGACGACCTGCTGGAGCTTGAGCGAGTGCGCCTTCCCAGAATGGCCGTGGTTTCATGGCTCTCGTAGGGAACGAAAAGGGTCAAGGAATGTCAAGGATGAATAGACGCGGCAGACGCGCAGCACTTCCCACACACTACACACCATGCGAATTACAGGATCACTGGGGGGCGAACTACATGCCCGACATCCATCTTTCTGAAGCTTGGTCACTGTGTGTGTGTGTGGGTGCATACATGCGAGCATGTGCGTGTGCGTGTGCCTGTTCCTGTGCGTGTGCGTGGGCCCCGGCCGTAGCCCGGCACAAAGCCATGATGTCAGGCATGATTGTGAAGAGGGCGCGTGTCCCAATCAAAGGACATACATGCGCCAAGCACAAGGTCTGCGCATTTCACAAAAAGCAAAGCAAGTTTCATTCCAGTGCCTGTTTTTGTACATTCCGCAATACTGATGGGTAAACAGGCACAAGCACAAACGGGCGTGGAGCATTTGCGATGCTTGCCAAATAGAGACCAGTTGGTCCAAGGTGCTTCAAAGCACAGCCAAACTGTTCCCAGGAAATTCAATTAGCAAGGAGGTTCGATTCGCATCGACAAGAGCAGCGTCGATACGGGCTTCGGAAGGCCTTTCAAACTACCCCTCACCATCTACGCGCCGGCCAAGCCTTGCATGGCTTTCCAATCTTCATTTATTTTCCTTCCCCTTCCCTGACATAAACACACAAGTGCCTCAAGCATTGGAGAACGATAAAGCGAAACCCCAAAAACGATAACTTGTTGCTCGAAATCGCCCAAAGTCGCCTTAGGTTTTGCCGCTCGCTCATTTCAAGAATGAACGTGGCAGGCAAAAGCGCGCGGCCTCCAAGTGTATGCGGCACCAGAGGATGGTGGTTTGCAAGAGGAGGACAGCTTACCATGGTTTCTTCTTTTCCATCCTTTGAACTGTTTGAACTGCTGCTCTTTACCTGACTCCTCTTCACCTCACTTCGACTCCTGAGGACTTTGACGCCATCAGCGAAGCGTTGCACATGCCTCGACCCAGGTGCAATTTCGAGCGCAGGGAGCGCAGGGAGTGCCAGAGATCGCAGGTCACATCCGCAAAGAGTCGCTTCACCAAGACCTTTGATCATGGCACCGCAGGCGCCTTAGGCACAGGCCCTTAGGCCGATCTTTGGCAGGTCCTCTAACATCCTTCCGCGTCATGCCTCGAGTGGGAAATGTGACATGTGGCCTTGCCTGATGAGGCCGTTGGTCCTGAAAGCACCATCATCGGCGCCGTCTTTCGGATGCAGATCTTCAGCTGTTCTGGCCCTATGGGCCTATGGCATGTGGACTTGAGTGCCAAATGCCATGTGACAAGAGCGACAAGAGTGACGAGAGTGACAAGAGTGACAAGAGTGACAAGGCTCGAAGAGGCCGGAAGGCTCTAAAAGAGGACTGAACCGCATTGGACGCATTGGACCCTGCCCGATCGGAGCCTGTTCCGCAAGGACCAACCTCTACGCCTGCCCTCTTTCAATGACTTTGGGCGAGGAGGACACGGCCAAGTCGCCAAGTCACGGTGCGGTTGTAACACTGCAAGCTTCACGAACAAGCAGATTCGCAGGTTTTGCAACACGGCAAGCAGTGCCTTGCATCGCATCATTCTAACCACTGAGACATATTATATGGCAAAAGAATGGAAAGCAATGACATCCATGTCTTCGCTCGAGGACGGTGGAGGAACGTGATTCTTTTTTCTGGCGACTGCTTTGAGGGTTGAATATATCACTGTTTATGCGAAATGTCGTGGGGAGAGCATCTCCCAATGCGTAGCGATCGGCAAGGATTTTTTGCACACCAGTGCCACTTGCTCGAATCCGCACTGCCAAGCAGATGAATTCGCAGTGCATCCAAGAGTCGTTAAGGCAAGCCGAGAGTCCGAGACGTTACAGCTTGAGCGATCTCCGTGAAGCGGAGACGGCCTCGCTCAACGCGTTGGGTCACCGGGTCCGTTCCGAATGGCCAGAAAACGAGCGCCTGGTCCGGGTAGAAACATAAACTGGATAATCTCGAATTTAAAGGGGATCTTGGCTTGTGAAACTTGTGATCTTACACGTAGAATCGTTTTAAGCCTTGGCTGTGTGTGTCTGTGTGTCGCTTGTTTCTCACAGGTAACTCCGAACACCGTCACTCTGCTGGGTGCTGGAAGCCTGCCCGCAGGCGCGAAATATGTGCGTGAAGAGACGTGAAGAGACGTGAAGAGACGTGAAGAGCAAAGTTTGAGCTTGCCAGGCATCGAGAAAGATATCGAGGCCCGTGTTGAGCTCAGACTGACAGCAGCGACCTGACGTTCAGGAGCAGGCAAGGCAAATCTGCATCCAGCACTCCTTCAGCACTCCGGATGAGGCGAGTTGTGTAGGATCCGTTCGGCACATGTGCGCCTCAAAGTGCACGGAGCTGCCAGGTGAGATATGTGTCACCTTCCTTAGTGTTGATTGACTTCCCGTACCAGGAAGCTTGTAGGCAGCTCAAGAAGAGAGAGTGACGCCAGAGATGCCCGAGTGTCAAGTGTCGACTTTGAGCTTGGCCCAGGCCGGGAATTCCTTCGTGTTTCCAATGGGCAGCTTAAGGCCGAAAGCCTTTCAGCAGGCATTACCAATATGTACCAATGCCTGTCTTAGCTCCAGGTCCGGCAATGGGTCTACAGGTTGCAGCACTCAAATGCTGCGCCTGCCCCGGCGTTTTGAAGCGTCACCAGATGTGCTTCTCTGAAGCTCAGGCCATCAGCGAAGGTGATCAGGATGCTATCACAGAGAGCCATGCCCCAAGTGCAACAGCCTGACTGCTTTGTCCGTGCCACAACTTGGTGCAGGTGTGGAGGAGAATCCTTCAGACACACTGATGGTGCGGCTAATAGGAGAGCTAGAAGAAGGTCGAATCAAGAAGGCGTTTGGGTGTAGCTCTTGTTACCCTGAGTGTCTTTGGACTGGCAGGCATTCCAAGCCCACGTGCCGGTGGTGAAAGCCGCCAGGCCCCTGGTGAGAAGCTTGCCACGACATTGCTTTGGGCTCGGCGAACGCGTACTTGTTTCTCCCTTCTGTCCCTTTTCTCCCTTTTCTCCCTTTTGTCTTTTTTGCACCGACCAACCGACATTCCCCAGGCGCATTCTGCAAAAGCCTTCTCTCTGACTTATCACTTGTTTTTGTCAGCGGCAAACATAAAGAGGCTTGCAGGCTTGACACATGTGCTTGACACGTGCTTGATGCCTAGATGGGCTTACCCCGACAGCATATAGAGGGCTTCGGCCATTTGCTTGCGACATGGTGTTGGGCCTGATACCACTAGTGTGCTGCGTTGAGGTGCGGATGATGCTGGATAGATCAACCAGGAAGTCAAAGGCATGTCACATGCCAATCGCCTGCTTCATCGATGTGAGTTTTGTATTTTTCCTTTGTTGGTGTCTTTTGCGCGTGCATTTGTGTGTTTGTGCTGCAGGGCTTCTGCTTCGTCTCATTTTACTCCGTTAGCGATGTCTGCGACTTAGACAACGAGTGTTATCCAGGTTGCTTGCAGGGTGCATGTGGTATCTGTTAATACATCACAGGACGCCACGTTTCAAATGAGTTAGTTCAGGAAGTGAGTCAAACGATTAAACAAGAACAGTAGACATGAATTGCACTTGCGGAATGCAATCATAGTGTTTTATTTAGTCTATCCGACAAGAACATGCCTAGTAAAATATCAAGGATGTTTTCAAGATACCCAGGCTTCATCTTAAACATGAACTGATTCATGTCAGACACTTTGTTGTAGGGGTTGTTTGCGGGTGGTTGGCATCAGAGTTGGGTTGAAGTGAATGATGAAAGATGCTTTGACGAGAGATGTTAGAAGACGCCTGCCATTGTCAGCTATTATTATGCTTTCTTTATGCTATTACAACAACTTGAAACCCATTCTACAATATCTATGTTTAGTTATGTTTGGGGGGTCGTCTGTACCAACTAGTTTTAGCTTTTATGCTACATTTACGTCTTTGTCTCTTCGTAGTGGTCTAATCGGACCTCGGCGGATGAGTTGACGGAGTGCATGAGGCCATGACAGCAAAGAACCGGATGATTGCAGCCGGGTCAGTGATTGACGCCAAGAAGGCCGGACGATCAGCTCACAGCCTAGCGATCCGCACGGGCGTGAGGTGGCCATCAGCTTTGCCAAGCCGCAGACGCAAGAGCAGGCTTGGCATTGCTGGAAGCATTGCTTGAAGCATTGCTTGGCGTTTGGGGTGGGAAGGGTGAGGCGGTAAGGCTTACGAAGCTAAGGCGCTGGAGAGCGACATGAACGCCCGAGCGGAGCAGCACGTCATACAGGCCCTTTCCACCTACAGGCCCAGCGTGAGAAGTGTGAGGGAGGGATGTTCATGCCAGGCCCAGGCGCAGCAGGCCTTGAGTGGCGTCAACGCAGAGATGTGGATTCCTTAGCCGAACGGGGCCATGTGGCTGGTAGTTGGGACCGAATCGGCCCGAGCCTGTAGATGTAAATTCCTAAGTTCCCAAGGTAGGTTTTCTAATTTTAGTTCCCGAAAGCATTGCGAAGGGTTCTTCCGGTAAAATCGCCCCAGCCTTATCACACAGCTAAACTCACACGAGCCAACTTACACGAGCCAACTTGCACGAGCCAACTTGCAGGAGCCAACTTGCACAGCCAACTTACACGAGCCAACTTGCAGGAGCCAACTTGCACGAGCCAACTTGCAGAAGCCAACTTGCACAGCCAACTTACACGAGCCAACTTGCTCGAGCCAACTTGCACAGCCAACTTACACGAGCCAACTTGCACGAGATATCACACAGCCAAACTTGGACACGACAGTAATTAGTTAGTCTCTTAAGGCGGCGCGGTGGGACCGAATCCACCCTGCGAAAATGAGACCTTCTGCGGGGATTGGCGTGGTCGATGTCCAACAACTGAGGACTTCTTCCGATTTCTGAGCTGCGCGCGCGACCCTCTGCGGGGATTGCGCGTGTCAAACCGCTCTCGCTGTGGCCCCGCGCGAATTCGTCTTAGTCTCGGCGAACCTTCTGCGGAGATCGTGCGTGTCGAAGCATGTCGAAGCGCTCTCGCTGCGCGCCGTGCGATTTTCCTGCTCACGAAATGGCCTTTGGAAGTTGCCTCGTGGTTTGCGCGCCTGCTTTCGCAATCCCGCGGTCGCGGGTTCGATTCCCCCCTGGTCCGCGGCATCTCCAGCTCAAGAGTTTGCTCGGAGAACTTGCTCACTCACTCGCTCGCTCACTCGCTCACTCACTAACTCGCACTCACTGACTTGCACTCACTCGCACTCACTCGCACTCACTCACACTCAATCGCTCTAACTCGCTCTCGCTCGCTCTCTCAGTCTCTCAGTCTCTCACTCTCTCACTCTCACTCAACTCATTCACACTCACACTTGCTCACACTTGCTCACACTCACTCACACTCACTCACACTCACTCTTACTCACTCTCACTCACTCTCGCTTCTCTCTCACTCTCACTTTCATTCATTCTCACTCACCCTCACTTTCTCTCTCTCTCTCCCACTCTCTCGCACTCGCTCTCAGTCGCCCTCACTTGCTCTGACTCGCTCTCACTCTCTTTCTCACTCACACGCTCTCACTCTCCCTCGCTCTCATTCTCCCGCTCTCTCTCTCTCTCTCTTTCTCTTTCTCTTTCTCTTTCTCTTTCTCTTTCTCTCTCTCTCTCTCTCTCTTTTTGTCTCTCTCTCTCACTCACTCACACTCACACACACACACACACACTCACTCACACTCACTCGCACTCACTCTTACTCACTCTCACTCACTCCCGCTTCTCTCTCACTCGCTCTCGGTCGCCCTCACTTGCTCTGACTCGCTCTCACTCTCAATCTCACTCACACGCTCTCACTCTTTCTCTCTTTCTCTCTCTCTCTCACTCTCTCTCACTCTCTCTCTCTCTCTCTCTCTCTCTCTCTCTCTCTCTCTCTGTCTCTCTCTGTCTCTCACTCTCTCACTCTCGCTCCCCGAGCAACATTTCTGATCGACACTTCTACGCGACACTTCTGAGCAACACTACTGCTCGACACTTCTGAGCAACATGTCTGATCGACGCTTCTAAGCGACACTTGCGCGCATCGACACTTCTGATCAACACATCGGAGCGACACTTCTGAGAGACACTTCCGAGCAACATGTCTAATAGACACTTCTGACCGACACTTTGATCAACAATTCTGATCGACACTTCTGACCGACCTTACCCCACTTAACTTTAGAGCCTCCGGCCCAGTCCGCCGACATTGTCCTCTCCCTTTTCTCCTTCTTCCTCTGTTTGTTCTGTCGTCCTCCCTCTGCTCCCCATCCTCCCCATCCCCCCAAGCCTCTCTCTCCCCAAGCTCCCTCTTGAATATGTATGTGTGCATGTATGTATGTATGTATGTATGTATGTATGTATGTATGTATGTATGTATGTATGTATGCTATGTATGTATGTATGTATGCATGTATGTATGTACGTGTGTATGTATGTGTGTATGTAATGTGTGTATGTATGTTATGTTATGTATGTCTGTATGCATGTGTGTAATGTATGTGTGTATGTAGGTATGTATGTATGTATATATGTATGTATGTATGTATGTATGTATGTATGTATGTATGTATGTATGTATGTATGTATGTAATGCGTGTAATGTATGTATGTATGCGATGTAATGTAATGTAATGTAATGTAATGAAACGTAACGTAACGTAATGTAATGTAATGTAATGTACTGTTGTGTATGTATGTATGTATGTATGTACGTATGTATGTATGTAGTGTATGTATGTATGTATGTAGGTATGTATGTATGTATGTATGTATGTATGTATGTAGTGTATGTATGCATGTATGTATGTATGTAATGTGTGTATGTATGTATGCATGCACGCATGCATGTATGTATGTATGTATGTACGTGTGTATGTATGTATGTATGTATGTATGTATGTATGTATGTAATGTGTGTAATGTATGTATGTTATGTATGTTTGTAATGTATGTGTAATGTATGTGTGTATGTATGTATGTAATGGGCGTAATGTATGTATGTCTGCGATGTAATGTAATGTAATGTAATGAAACGTAATGTAACGTAATGTAATGTAATGTACTGTTGTGTATGTATGTATGTATGTATGTATGTATGTATGTATGTATATGTATGTATCCTTGCACTTCCCCTTTGCTCCCCAGTATTTCCCGAAAAACACGTTTTCCCAGCGTTTTCGCAAAGAGGACGTCCAAAAACACAGGGTTTTTCCAGATTTTCGGCAAAACGATGCAGGAAGCCCAAGCCAGCAAAAAGCCGGCAGGGGGAATCGAGCCTGGGGCCCCTGTTTTGCGACACCGGCTCCCCGAAGACTACATTTAGTAGAACGTCATCAAATTGCCGCGCGGTATGTGGGGGACCCCCCCAAAAAAAACTGCGTATTTGACGTCGGGCGGGGGGGGGGTTGTCCTCTATCCTCTAGTAAGTATCCAACACGCCGAGCAATCTCGGCGGATAAAGCCCTTCGCTACAAGTTCGGGAAAAATCTGCAGCTGCCGTTTGCCCTGAAAAGGGACGCAAACACATCTGCTTTCGGGCCACCCGTGGTTCTAGTTTGCGTTTCTTTTTGTTCGCACCTTGTTTTGTCAATGTGTCCACCCAGACTTGCGTTTGCAAGGTTTTGGGGCCCTGGCCATGCCAGGCTTGCCCCTGGCACTTGCATAAAGGCTGACGTTTTGCAAGTCTGGCCAAGCGGCGCATTCGCGAGCGCAGTTTATCAAAGGAAGCTTGATGTGAAACTGCGGCTGAAACGGCCAAGCGTAGCCGAGGTAAGCAGTAAAGACGTAGCAAAGTTTCCAGGGCCAGACAAAGCCCAAAACAACGCGTGGAGTGTTGCTAGTGTGGCGCAGGGTTCATGGCCGGCGCAGCACGTCATGAGCTCGCGGGTCACGAGAAGAACCTTGAAGAAGCGGCAGACGCGGATGTGCCGCGCGCCTGCCTCTGGCCAGAGCTGGGCAACGGAGCTGGACGTGCTGGAGTGGCAACGCGCCGTTTCGCAGCAAAATTTTGAATTTTTTCGCTGAATCTAAAGCCCTCGCCGTTTTTGTCAGCCTTCTGCGGACCTTCGGCTGATCGATCATTGACCTCATTATTTAAATTTGCCATTTTGAGCTCGCGCAAAGATTGAAACCCTGTTCCAAGCGTCGTCCAGAGCGCCGGAGACGGCAAAACACCCAAAGGATTTGTCTTTTTACAAATTTCTTTTCTCCCGCCAAACGGGTGCTCATGTTTTCTCGAAAGCATTCCTTATTTCTTCACATCGTTCAAGCGCAAGACTACCGTTCAACTAGTGTCCGTAACACGAAAGTGTCTGTCAACCATGCTTTGACCACCCAACATACAGCTTTCGTGCAGGAGGTATGTTGGTTTGTCATTGCCTTCGCACACACGTATGCTTTGCCACGCAGCAGCTGCAATTCCTTGAGTCTTGTAGGCAGCGCAGCGCTGTTTTTTAAGGTGGTCTTCCTACATGCAGTTTTGCGAGGAAGAGAAGGACCGTTACGGAATGCCTACATGAGGCTGCACACTTGCCCTCTCCAGGAGAAGGAGAGCAGAGAGAAGCAGGCAGGGTGGAGAGGCGGGTGAAGCGCTTGTGAAACGGCTGCAGAGGCGTTGATGGAAGCCTTGGAAGCCAAAAAGCGTGCTCTACAGGCGGAGAAATTCGGCAAAGCGTCGTGGTGCTTCCTTTATTTGCAGGCAGCAGTTCCGCTTGAAACCGGACCTGAGAGCTCTGTTTGAGACGTAGAGGAGTTTGCGCAATCATATAGTGAAAAAGACGAAGCGGGCGACGCCTGAGGGAAAGCGTGAGATTCCCTCGGCATTTGGGGAGCAATGCGCAAGGTGTGTGCGGATGCGCAACTCCTTTTTTTGCAAGGGTAATGAGTTGTTGTCGTTGAGCTGGGTGGGATGCAGGTAGGCTGGTCATAATCTATGGAACGTCAATTGGCCCTCTGCATACACATGTTATGTTTTCATCATCATGTTGAACATTCTCGTGGCACGCCAGAATCGATACCCCAGCGTCCCACTCTCAGGATTTATATATGTAAGACGTCCCGGTTGTTAAGATGAACGCCGCCGGTTTTTCACCGCAGTTTCGGCTTGAGCTTTGCACACTCTCGTGAGGGAGTGTGCCGTTGTGTGCCTTAGCCCCGGATCAAGCTCTTCTGTGGAGCCCCTGAGCGGACCGCTCTGCTCAGGGCCTTGCTGGGAGCTCTTAGAGTTTGCTGAGAGCTCCGAGAAGGAGGGTTGGGGGAGTGGGTCCGTACTCACTGGAGACCCCTTGGTCAGCCAGTGGTGAGGAGCTAAGGGAGGAGGAAAAAGGAGGAGGAAAAGGCGAAGGGAAGGGGGGGAGGTTGGGACAGCCGTCAAGGGGTTGTCAGTTGTAGGTCATACCACCGTGCAGCAGTCAGACTCAGCCTCGCGTGTCGTTGAGTGACAGTGGCCTGCTGTACGGCGCGCCGAGCATGTGGTTGACATCGACGAGGACCTGGTGCAGCAGTGGTCGCTGAAGTTTTTGCGAGTCTTGTTTGATCGGAGCAGGGCCACCCTGTCAGGGGGTTTGCGGGCTCAATGCCTCCCGAAGGGGAGCCTTGAGGGACGAGCGATCGTCTCTTTTTGTGCGCGTGCAACGGGCCAAACATCATTTTAAGCGGGCGCAGGCGCGTCTGCTAATGGAAAGTGTGGCTTCAATGGATCAGGTGGACAGGGAGATCATGTCGGCTTCTGTTGGTATTGATCCTGTCTTGGTGGATGCTTCGGGCATTACGTTGTGCAGGAGGACCTCGCTTGTATTGGTTCGACTGGACTGAAAGGTGCATCCCACGAAGGGGGTCCAGATGATATCCTCCAAAGATTCTCCCTGGAGACGTTGCGCCGACCACGCAGCCATTGGCCACCGAGGACCAAATTCAATGAAGTTAGCCTTGCGCTTTCAGGGCCTCAGTTTCCGGCCATACAGCCTGCGTCGCGGCCTGGAAAGGGCCTCTCAGAACGCAGCGCCCGCTCACGCGGTTCAGCCAATGCTTGTGGCTCAGAAGGTGGGCCACGGCTTTGAAGCCGGGAAGCCAACCCTTAAAGGATGGCGCATGGTTATCAAGCTCCGACTCAAGCTTGTCACTGATGTGCTAGTAAGCGATTTTTAAACCGTGGGGTGAACTACCCACAAAGGATGCAGCGGTCCTTCCCTTTGGTGTGGCCGGGGGGGGGTGATGTGTCCTTCAATTTCGGCTGAGACATTGGGTGTGGTTTTTTATTGGTGTGGCAAGGAAGCCAGGCGTGCCTCGAGAACACGAGACCCTCAGCATAGCGAGTGGAGGTCATAGTTTCGTAACTGTTTGACAAACTTGGTCTTGCAGTGCGAAAATGAGGCGAGAGTGAATCTTCACACGCAAATATATATATATATATATATATATATATATTTGTCCTATGTGTTAATGTACAACATGCCTTCTCTGCACTGCACAGTTTTGATCGCACCCGCAACATGTGGATTTGTCAAGGCCTTGAGCCTACACCTGATTGCCAGCGCAAACGGCGCTATTTTGCCGGGGTGTTTCACACACAGGCTTGCGCGTCAGGTGTTCAGTTGCACAGTTGCTCCAAGTTTAGCGTGGTAGCGGACAGTTACACATCTGGGAAAGATCTGGCGGCCTTTCCCTACACCACACAAGGAATGGCGGCTCAGCAACAACGACAAGATCAACAGTAGCAGCTGTAAGGGGTCCACAAGTACAAGATGGCACCACCACGATTCACAGGAGAATACCACACCTTCGAAGAATGGCAAGATGACAGCTCACCTTGCGTTCCACCGACTGCTACGACAGTGAGAGCAGTCGCAAGGACCGGGGGGGCGACGTTTTGGTTTGCAAACATGGGTCTTTGGACAGTTTGTTGGTTTAGGGAGGCTGCCCGCGCAGCCCGCCTCGCCATTTTTGCAGAAATGAAGTTGCTTTGAGCCAGGCACAATGCGTGTGGCACAGCTTGGCAAGCCTTTGCCTCCACTTGGGCTCGCTAAAAGCAGGCAGGGGAACGTGGAAAGGGCTTTGCCACAGACGCAACAGCTGTCTCAAAGATGGGGGCCAAGGTGTCAGGCGCAAATGACCAACTTGAGAACGCAGCGCCATCACAACCAGTGGCAGAGCAAAGGCTACAACTTTCAAACTACACTAGTGAGCACGGGCGATGGACCAGCGTCTACAGCATGCAGATAAAACACGCAAGGCAAGGCAACGGTTTCGAGACATTGGCGGCTCTGGTGCAAGAATTGGGCGCCTTACAAGGCTGCTAAACCACAACTTCATGAACAAAAGTTCGAGCGAGCTTCGCAACATCGGAGTTCCAACTCTCTAAGTACGAGCAAAACAGCTGCTACTTGAGAGAGGCGGTTCCATAAACACCTGTTTTCAGTTGTTGGGTCCATACGGGCTTAACACCCCGGACAACCCCCCGGACAAACCCCCAACTTGGCGGAACAAAGACAAAGGAAAGAAAGGTAAGCGCAAGGGCGAAGGAAAGCACAGCAAAGGAAAAGCTATGGCGGCTATGGGAACAACAACTACTACAACAAGAGCAAAGGAGGAAAAGGCAATCAGTACACTCAACAACCGGTTAGGCAAGGAAACGTGCGACAAACGTGTGCTGGCCAGGACACCTGGCCACAAAGACGCAGGGCAGCGATCTACAACTGCGACACAGGTTTGCCTTGACAGCGCAGGACGTCACCCGTGCACATGGCTTGACGAGAGAGCCGAACCTGCTCGACACGATCTTCAACGCATCCCCCCGCAAGATGCTACGCTTGCATCCACCCACCTTCTGTCAGAATATTGGCATGATCAGAACAAGCGGGCTACAGGCGTGTTTTTCATGTTGTCGCTTGTGTTCAATGTCAACCGCTTGGTGGAACACAGCTCGATGGGCTACAGTACCAGTTTAAACAAGGGCCACAAGCGCAGCTGATGTCACACGCGACCACATCTTCGACACCCGAACCCATAAGCGCAGCGCAGCTTCTAGCTTCTGGACCTTGTGAGATTTCACACATGGCGAACAGGGTACATCTGGAGTGGACAGTCAGTGGTTCAGGTCACAATTCAACTCGGTGGTGCGGAATGAAGCAAGAGGCCAGGCTAAAATGTCTATGCTATTACTGTGTTCCTTGCTGCGCGGATGACGTGTGCTCCACTGAGCCAGTTCCGCTGTGAGGGGGAAACAGATGTTCCCGTGGCGTCACGGATGAATGTAGCGCGGCACCTCTTGGCCGCTAGGATGTGTCTCGGTATGCGATTGAATGACCTTGTTGACCACACACGTGCCATGGCTCTCATGTCTCAGCAAACTGTTCAGGGAGCATGCAACAGAAGTCCTTGCCTTGTCATCTCTTGTAATCTGCAAATGTTGCAAAAGAAACCTGCTCAGAAGACATGACATGTAGTCAATAGCCTGTGCAGCTGGAAACCTTGCGCAATTTGAGGAAGCGCGTTAATGGACAACATGCCTTCTCTGCACTGTACAGATGGATCGCATCCGCAACATGTGGGTACATCAAGGCCTTGAGCCTACATCCGGCTGCCAGCGCAAAGAGCGCTACATTGCCGGATTGATTCCCACACAGGTTTGCGCATCAGGTACTCAGGTTACGCAGTTGCTCCATTTCACGACATGTTCCACATGCGATCGCGCCTTTCAGTTTGTCTCAGAGCTTTTTTCGGCAGTGCCACGTGGCACAAAAGTGCTGCGGCTGCATACTAGTAAGCGCTGATGGTGCTGTTGGACACTTGCGGTCATGGATCTGAGGCACAAAATCACGCCATGGCTCTCATCATCATGGATACTCTTGCCCAGGTAAGCTGGCCAGCATGCGCAGGGGATATGTTGCCGTTTTCCTGCCAGGTGACTTCGAAGTGCTTCCATATCGTTGCTGACTCCCTCTTCGACAGCAACAATCGAAATAATATCAACGAGAATAATGGCAACTTAGCTGTGCAGGCAGATAGGCACTCGCTTGAGTGCGAGTTCGCGAGGAAATAATGGGAATAATAACAACTAGCCGCGGCCTCGAAGCAACGATCTTGCGTTGTGTTTTGCAAGCATGTTGTTCACACTCAAGCTTGAAGTGCATTTTGTTTGATCTGTTTCGCATTTTGCATGTTTGCATTTGTTTCAATTGTTGCCTTGCATCTTCTGAGGACTCCATGATCTTGACTCGATCTCGGTCAAGGCGAGGGGCAAACTGAGCGGTAGCGGGACTAAGCGAAAGTGTGGCCGAGAGTCATTGAAGTCATTGACGTCTAGGGCGCTGTCCATCTTTCAGCGCCGACTCTTTGCGCTGCGTGCGGCCTTGGCAGCAGCTGCTCCGCAGCAGCGCAAAGAGGCGGGCCGGCCATGGGCCGAATGGGGAAGCTCGAAGGTGTCTTGGAATCATCTGGAATCGTTTTTGTTGAGCAGCTTCAGGCCATTGAGCTGCTCTCGCCGCAGCTGCGGCGTGAGTTGCTTTGGCTCATGGAGGCACCGAACCGCACATCGTCCATGCACGTTCGGCGAGCGTTGGCAGACCGACGCGTCGGGATCCAAAGCGGCTGGCGCCTTACTTCAGCTACCTTTTGCAGGATTTACTGTGAGCTTGTGGCAGTCACTTAGGACAAGCAAGCCATGCGCCGCACCTTCGGCATGAGTTGCAACATATGCAAAGGACACGTGGTCCCGGTCCCGTTTTCACAAGGACACTGACAAGAAACTAGGAGCCGGGGTTTTGCTTCGAGCGCACCCTTAGCTTTGACACCGCTGGATGACGTTTGGAGATGGAGAAGCGTGCCGATTTCAGTCCCTTGCGCACTTTGTTTGATCCGATTTGAGCATTTTTTAGAAGCTCAAGCCGCAGAGTGCCAGGATCATGCAGCTTGGGAGTACCCAAGATGCGGCTTCAGGACATGCGAGTTTGTCTCGATGTTTTTCCCGGAAGCATTCCGAAGGGTTCTTCTTCTAAAAGCGGCTGCAAACTTCACCTGCCAACTTCTCATGTCAACTTTTCGACAGTTATTTCACCTGCCAACTTCTCATGTCAACTTTTCGAGAGTTATTTCACCTGCCAACTTCTCTTGCCAACTTTTCGAGAGTTATTTCATCTGCCAACTTCTCATGCCAACTTTTCGAGAGTTACTTCACCTGCCAACTTCTCATGCCAACTCTTTGAGAGTTACTGCACCTGCCAAGTTCTCATGCCAGCTTTTGGAGAGTTTCTTCACCAGCCAACTTCTCATGTCAACTTTTCGGGTGTTATCTCATTATCCTAAAAACACAAGCTAACTTTTCTTCTCTTCCTTCACATCTTGACTTTTCGGGTGTTATCTCATGATCCTAAAAACACAAGCTAACTTTTCTTTTCTACCTTCACATCTCGACTCTTAACTCTTCTTCTTTTTATGGCGGGGGTAGGCCCGACGGGAGCTTACGAAACGTACCCTCTGCGGAGATCGTGCGTGTCGAAGCGCTCTCGCTGTGGCGCCGTGCGAATTTGTCTTGACCTCGGCGAACCCTCTGCGGGGATCGTGCGTGCCGGATCGCTCTTGCTGTGGTCCCGTGCGAATCTGTCTTGACCCCGATGAACCCTCTGCGGGGATCGTGCGTGTCGGATCGCTCTTGCTGTGGTCCCGTACGAATCTGTCTTGACCGCGGCGAACCCTCTGCGGAGATCGTGCGTGTCGAAGCGCTCTCGCTGTGGCGCCGTGCGAATTGGTCTTGACCGCGGCGAACCCTCTGCGGAGATCGTGCGTGTCGAAGCGCTCTCGCTGTGGTCCCGTGCGCATCTGTCTTGACCGCGGCGAACCCTCTGCGGAGATCGTGCGTGTCGAAGCGCTCTCGCCGTGGCGCCGTGCGAATTTGTCTTGACCTCGGCGAACCCTCTGCGGAGATCGTGCGTGCCGGATCGTTCTTGCTGTGGTCCTGTGCGAATTTGTCTTGACCGCGGCGAACCCTCTGCGGAGATCGCGCGTGTCGAAGCGCTCTCGCTGTGGCGCCGTGCGAATTTCTTGCTCGCGAAACGGCTTTTGGAAGTTGTCTCGTGGTTTGCGCGCCTGCTTTCGCAATCCCGTGGTCGCGGGTTCGATTACCCCCTGGTCCGCGGCAGCTCCGGCTCGAACATCGCAGCCTTTAAGTACAAACGTAGTACGCGGAGCGTGCTCCCGCAGCTCCGGCTGGAAAATTGCAACTTCTAAGTACAGACGTAGTACGCGGAGGCTGCTGCAGCTCCGGCTGGAAAATCGCACTTTTTAAGTACAGACGTAGTACGCGGAGCGTGTTCCCGCAGCTCCGGCTGGAAAATCGCAACTCTAAGATACAAACGGCTGGAAAACCGCAACTTAAAAGTACAAACGTAGCACGCGGAGCGCCTCCCCAGCTCCAGCTTTTTGCGGGTTACTTCACCTGCCAGTTTCTCATGCCGAAATTTCGAGAATTACTTCACCTGCCAGCTTCTCATGCCACCTTTTCGAGAGTTACTTCACCGGCCAACTTCTCGTGCCAACTTTTCGAGGAGTTACTTCACCTGCGAGCTTCTCATGCCAACTTTTCGAGAAATACTTCACCTGCAAACCTCTCATGCCAGCTTTTGGAGAAATTGCTTCACCTGCCAACTTTTCGAGATTACTTCACCTGCCAGCTTCTCACGCCAACTTTTCTAGAGGTGCTTCACCTGCCAACATCGCCTGCCAACTTTTCGAGAGTTACTTCACCTGCCAACTTCTCGCTCCAACTTTTCGAGAATTACTTCGCCTGCCAACTTCTCATGCTAACTTTTCAAGAGTTACTTCACCTGCCGGCTTCTCACGCCAACTTTTCGACAAATACTTCACGCGCCATCTTCTCGTGCCAACTTTTTTGAGAATTACTTCACCTGCCAGCTTCTCACGCCAACTTTCCGAGAGTTACTTCACCTGCCAACTTTTCTTTTGAGTTACTTCACCTGCCAACTTCTCACGCCAACTCATTGAGAGTTATTTCACCTGTCAACTTCTCATGCCAACTTTTCTCTTGAGTTACTTCACCTGCCAACTTCTCATGCTAACTTTTCGAGAGTTACTTCACCTGCATCAACTTGCCTCTATGCTTCCGGGCCACTCGTCGTCTAGTTTGATCCCAGCTCAGTCTTTAGATAATGGTTGTGGATTGTGTTCAACCAGCTAGTCACCTGAATTGCCTAATCTGTGTTGGGTCAGGAATTCCGCCAATTGAATCAATCAAACCAGTGCTTACTTTGGCTTGAGCAAGCAAGCACTCAAAGATGCAATCAGCTGCCTCTTGTTGCAGTCGATACCCTCACTCCATCATTCCTCACATGTTCCCTCCTTGGCAGTGTGTCATCCTTCAGCTTGGAGGCAAGTACTGCTGCTTGCCTTGAGCCATCTTCTTCTGGACGGCATTGGCATTTGTTGTAGCATGACGGGGAGAGCTGCCAGCGCTCGATTAATGTTTTCACGAGCACGAGTTTTCAGATGCTAGCCATTCCAAGTTATTTGGACACACAAGCCTAACCAAGTAGAACACGATGCCCAGCAACAACGCTCTCCATATCTTACATTGAGACTCTCCATTTTGAAAAAAATTAAAATTACTTAAAATTGCTTACTTTTCCCGCTCTCATTTGCTTTGGCCATCTCAAGCCGCAGAAAACCAGACCTGCGCGAAATAAGCAGGACCCAATGGCTCAGACTCCTTCCCTTGCACGTCACTCCCGTCACTTTCCTTCTACTCCATTCCATTCCTAGTTACCAGCCACGCTGATGAAAGATGAAAGGACTGAAAGTGAGTCATCTCTTCTTTGATGGAGAAATAAGTTCCTACTGCTGCCTGGCTGCATTTCGCCAAATAATACGCAGCAACGGGAAAGGCAAGGAGTAGGAATTATTGTGTCATGCAGTTTTCTGGAGAGAGGGTATCAAGGTTCAGTTATCCAGACTAAGTCTCATTCTCAAAATTCCCCAAATAGTGTTTACATTAAGGGGTTCTTACGGAAAGAGTTAAGGCCTGGTGTAGATCGAGGTGTCGGCTCAAATTGCCGGCCCTGTGCGTAAAAAGTTGTCTTCGATGCGACAGTCTCGCACGAAATGGAGGTGCCCACCTTTGCGTGCGTCTCGCTGTGGTGCCGTTCGCACTTTTCAGCTTTTGCTGGCAGGGGCAACAGTTGGGAGGTACGCGCTAGAAGCCTCGTGCCAAATGCGTTTTTTTGAAGCAACATGCATTTTTTGCTGGCAGGGGCGTGTCACACGGAGGTTCGCGCTGCGACGCGGAGCGTGTTTTTTGAGGAAGCCTCGTGCCAAACGCGTTTTTTGAGACCAAAGTGCTTTTTTTGATGGCAGGGCCGCCACGCGGTGATATCTTCTTGTCGGGTCAGGCTACCACGCTTGGACAATCGGAGCTCTAAAGCCATGGCAGTTGTCGCAAAAAGTTGTCTCGCGTGCGACAGCTTCGCACGAAACGGACCTTTCTTCAAAACTGCACTCTCGCTGTTGCGCCGCGCCGATCTGCGGATCTGTGTGTTGCCGCAAAATTCCATGGCCAGCGCAGCATTCTGTGAGACTGCCGTGCATTTTTCGTGGCGGGCGCAGCATGTTTTGCGCTGGTGCAAATAATGCGTGGCAGGCGCAGCATTTTCGGAAACAGGGTCTGTGAATTTCGTGGCAGGCGCAGCGTTTCGCTCATTTGCAAGCGTTGCAAGACGAAAGTGAACCCTTTGCGGAGATCGTGCGTGTCGAAGCGCTCTCGCTGTGGCGCCGTGCGAACTTGTCTTGAGCTCGGCGATTCCTCTGCGGAGATTGTGCGTGTCGAAGCGCTCTCGCTGTGGCGCCGTGCGAATGTGTCTTGAGCTCGGCGAACCCTCTGCGGAGATTGTGCGTGTCGAAGCGCTCTCGCTGTGGCGCCGTGCAAATGTCTCTTGAGCACGGCGACTCTCGCTGTGTTGCGGTGCGATTGTGTCTCGAGCTCGGCGAACCCTCTGCGGAGATCGTGCGTGTCGAAGCGCTCTCGCTGTGGCGGCATGCGAATATTGTCTTGCACCCGGCGAACCCTCTGCGGAGATCGTGCGTGTCGAAGCGCTCTGGCTGTGGCGCCGTGCGAATTTGTCTTGAGCTCGGCGAACCCTCTGCGGAGATCGTTTCGTTCCGCTCTCGCTGTGGTGCCGTGCGAATGTGTCTCGAGCTCGGCGAGCCCTCTGCGTGTCGAAGCGCTCTCGCTTGGCGCCATGCGAGGTGCGACGTGCCTTTCCGCATCTCCGGCTGCGCAGGCAACGTTTACGTACAAAGCTGGCGCGCAAAGTGCGCTCCCGCATCTGCGGCTTGAAATTCGCAACTTCTAGGTGCAAAAAGTAGTACGGGAAGCGCGTTCCCGCAGCTCCGGCTGTAAAATCGCGCTTTTTAAGTGCAAAAGTAGTACGCGAAGAGCACTCCGGAGCTCCGGCTGCAAAATCGCAATTTTAAGTTCAAAAGTAGTACGCGAAGTGCACTCGCAGCTCCGGCTCAAAATTTCGCAACTTCTAGGTGCAAAAGTAGTTTGCGGAGGACATTCCCTCAACTCCGGCTGAAAGCTCGCAAGTTTCAAGCGCAAAAGTAGTACGCGAAGAGCACCCCAGAGCTCCGGCTTGCAAAATCGCAATTTTAAGTACAAGAGTAGTACTGGAAGTGCACTCCCGCAGCTCCAGCTCGAAGTTTGCAGGTTTTTAGTGCAAAAGTCCTACGCGAAGTGCGCTCCGGAGCTCCAGCTGCAAAGTTGCAATTTTGTATGAGTGTACGAAGTGCGTTCCCATGGCACGAGGCTCGCAACTCTTAAGTCCAAAGTTGTACATAAAGTGCATTCCCGCAGCTCCGGCTGCACAATCGTAAATGGCAACGTGCGCGCGAAACGCGCTCGCGCGGTTCAGGTAGTATGCGAAGTACACTTCCGCAGCTAAAATTGCCAGCAGCTGCTCACAGATATGGACAAGAGAGTTTTTCAACAGAGGACATGAAAGATTTGGCAAGAGAGGTTGCAGAACATCATGCGCAGCATCATGCGCTGCATTTCGCGCAACGTCATGCGACATCGCGCGCAACATCACGCGCAACATCACGCACAGCTTCGCGCGCAACATCAAGCCACAGCATCACGCGCGCGAGAAGTTGACAGGAGAGATTGTGAAGCATGATGCTGATCCTGCTCATCAGAACGTACGCTTGAGCAGGGGCACCGACGTGTTTACGATCTCATCAGGTGGGAGAGGCGTCAGTGTTTATTTAACGTCCCTTGCCGGGATAGTTTTCTTGCATAGGATTCTTGAAGAGATAGATTACAGGGAAGAAAGATGGATGGATTCAACATATATCCCTCCTTGTCATCATGTCCTGTCACTTCCATGTGAACATGTTGCGACAGGCTGTGCGCGCCAGCTTGTGGACAATGAGGACCTCGAGGGGCCACTACCATGCTGCAAGGCGCTGCCTCAGGACGGGTGCGGAATTTTCTCACAGACCTGACCTGGCACCAAGGCTAACTCTGGGTGGTGTCGTGGTCGCAACACGAGCCACCAGAAGCCTCAAGGAGGCACGTACTTCGTTTCACGTGTCTTTGGCTTCATGCATTTTTCAGGTTCATTCAATGCGTTCAGTTCTTTATGTTGATGCAGTTATTTCACTTTGTTGTTTTTCATTTTTTCACATGTCTTTGGCTTCATTCGTTTGTTCAGGGTCATGCAATGCGTTCAGTTCCTTCTGTTGATGCAGTGTCTTTAGTTTCTTGTTTTCATTGTTTTCACGTGTTTGTGGTTCAGGTTCATGCAATCCATTTAGTTCTTTCTGTTGATGCAGTTATTTCAGTTGTTTTATATGATTTCACATGTTCCTGGCTTCATTCAAGTGTTCAGGCTCATTCAATGCGTTCAGTTCTTTCTGTTGGTGCAGTTATTCAAGTTCCGTTTTTCCATTCTTTTCACTTGTCTTTGGCTTCATTCACTTTTGCAGGTTCATTAAATGCGTTCAGTTCTTTCTGTTGATGCAGCTATTTCATTTTGTTCATTCTTTTCACACGTCATTGAATTCAGGTTTATTCAAAGCGGTCAGTTCTTTCTGTTGATGCAGTTATTTCACTTTGTTGTTTTCATTTTTTCACATGTCTTTGGCTTCATTCATTTGTTCAGGTTCATGCAGTGCGTTCAGTTCCTTCTGTTGATGCAGTGATTTTAGTTTCTTTTTTTCATTGTTTTCACGTGTTTTTGGCTTCATTCAATTTTTCAGCTTCATTCAATGCGTTCTGTTGTTTCTGTGGATGCAGTGATTCAAGTTGTTGTTGCATTATTATCTTTTTTTTGGGCTTCATTTATTTGTTCAGGTTCATGCAACGCGTTCAGTTCTTTCTGTTTTTGGGGGCATGTACTTTTATCATAGCATATTTCATCGCCACGGCCAATGCGCCGTTTGGCTCAAGCTTTTACCACGGTGAACCGCGCCGCCATAACAGCAGTGGCTGCTTGCGGCGCCGCTACCCGTCTTGCTCTTGGAAAAGGGCAGGCCGCGGTCCGCGGCGGTAGGCACGTCTTCTGGTTGTGGGTCGGTGTGTGTTTGGTGGTGTCCGCATTGGTTTGCTTTGCTCGCTCGCTGCGCTGCTTTGTTTGCCTGCTTGGTTTGCTGCTTTGTGCTTGCTTTCGGTTGTCTCTGCCCTTGCTGGGTTCATTCATCTTTTGGTTAAAGGCACCCTGTTTTGGTTCGTTGTTTGTGCCAGCCGGGGGCACCGCTTTGCCCTTGGGGCTGGGGGACTTAAACAATCTCTTCTTGTTGGTGGGATTGGGCCTGTTTATTCTCTCCCGAAATGCTGTTTCAAACCCTTTCGCAGGTTATCAGCCGTAGGATTCGTCCTCGGTTGGCGCCGCGAACCCCTTTTTAATAACAACCCTGCAGGCGCCGTTTTCCATAGGTTACTGTAGGTCTCATGGCGGAAATCACTGAAGATGGACCTCATGTGGTGACCGATGAGTGGGTTCTTGGCCAGGCCGGAATCTTGGACGTTGTGAATGACGGCCAGGTGCCCGGACAGCCGATTTTTTCCGGTCCTGACTTTATGTCGGATCACACTTTTTCCGAAGCAATGCCTTCAGAGAGATCCAGTGCTACTCGCAGACTCGCACTGATGATCTATCGTGTAATGCCTCGAGAGCTAATCGCTCTCAGGGTCGTAGGACTAATCGTCCTGACCATGATGATTCCGTCTCAGGACGTGATGATGACGAGCCCGGTGTTGCACCTGGAGCTCAATCCTCATCTTTCCCCGAGCTGATGAATATTGGTCAGTCCGAGGTTCATGACTCTCGAAGCAGCAGTAGACCTGTGTCAACCAGTAGCATAGCTTTCCAAGCGCTCGGTAATCCCGAACCTGGTGCACGCAGTGGAGTTGCATTCGATGTTCATATGCCCACCGAACTCGGTAGGCTGGATTGGAGTGCCTCATGGCCCAACGACGGAAACATTTTTGGCATGGATTTCGCCGCATGGATGCCAGGGCCACCCGCCCCATCGTCTTTCCCGCAGTTCCAAAGCCCGAAACGGGCTGCTGGAAGCGATGAATTCATGCTGCCTTTGTCAATTGAGAATCTCAATCCTGATGTGGTCAGCCGTAACGTCAGGCCAAGGCCGTCGGTAAACCCGACCATGAGGAACATGTCCCCTCCCCCAGGACTGTCAGGGTTTGAGAGCCCTAGGGAGCGAAACATTGTAGACAGATTGGATTTGCATCCCAGTCCTACCAAGCAAGCGATCAAGGTCAAATGATGGCATCAAGTTCTAGTCACAACCACACCATCAGTAATGCCACTGATGCTGAGTCAATGTCTGAATCTAGAGTGTCCAATGCGACCGATTTGAACAACATTGTCATTGCTGACGCGAGACCTGATGTTCCTATGCGAACTGATAGGCCAGTCATTCCTAAATTATCCGTGGCCAAAGGCCTGGGCATGACACAACCCTCGGCGGTTCGTGATGCTAGGAGATCTGCGCCGTATCAGAGTCAATCACCGTGGATCAAGGCATAGCCCCATGGGTGAAGATCAGCCCAATGAGGTTGCTGATCTCGTCACGGCCCTTGAAAGAGGGAGGGTGGACTCTTCCGTAAGTGCAATCATTCATCGCCTGGTTGCTAAGGTCGAAGACCTTGGGCGTAGGAATGATCAATGCATCAAGCAACTAACCACTGAGGTCAAGTCGTGGAGAGCCAAGTACGACCAATGCGTCCATGTGAACAACACGTGCACACAGGCTGCAAACGTGTCCATGCAACTCTCACAAGGGGCTAAGGACGTCGTAACCGAGCTTGGCCAACGAGTCAAGATCGTTTCCGATCGTATGGCAAGCTTAGGCGATGCCCTGAATGAACGAGCCAGCTACGACGATGTCGCTCGCTCAATCATCCAAGTTCAAACTGTTTTTGAGTCTCTTTCTGATCGAGTAGCCGAGCTTGTAACTCGTGTTGACGCGATCGAGAGATCCCTACTGGAGAGTCAATCCAATCATCCTGCGATTGGTGGTGTGAACCTCAAAATCGAGGACTTATCCACCAGGATGTGTCATATTGACAAAATGATGCAAAATGCCGAACAGTGTGGGGTTACCAACAGGGAAGGCATAAAATGGGTTAAGGACCAGCTCTGCGAAACGCAGACCAATTTAGAGGTCAAATCAAGGGACTGCAAGTCCTACACGGACAAGCAGAATACTCATAACATGGCTGTTTCGACTACACTCAACAGCAAACTCGAACAGATGCTCAACGTGCTAAACAGCACGGCCCAGAGAATTAACACTCTCGAATCAAAGTATTCGCCAAGCAGTGACCAAAGAAAGAGGACCGATAATACCCCGAGCCCGCATCGAAGAGACAGATACTCTCCGAGGAATCGGGATCGCCTAGCCCCAGGAGCGAAGCTCCTAGGAGGCCTAGGTCTACCTCACCCGGTGCTCCAGCAATCGATGCATGTAGGGACTTCGCACGTGGGTATTGCTCGCGTGGACAAGAGTGCAAATTCGCACACACTAGGGCTGGAAGCTCCGATGCCAAACGCAAGGAACGTCCTCCCCTAATTCCGGGGTATTGCGCCCAATGGATTTCTTATGGCAAGTGCCTGAGGGACAAGTGTGATCACAAGCATGCAAAGCCACCTGAACATTTGCTGAAAGAAGCAGGTCAACACACTGCGGCTCCAGCAACCGAATCTGCTGATGCGCAGCTCGCATCCGCTGAGCCTACTAGCACTGCTGACGACAGGACATACAGTCCTGCCCCTGATTTGTCAGCAGGTTTTTGAGAGGGGCGAGCCGTAACCCTCAGGCTATTGGGCTTGTTGCCTGCCCTGCTCATCCCATAGCCAAGGCATTTGAAGAGTATAAGGCTGGATTTCGACGTCCGGTAGGGACAATGGAGTGGTCAAAGACCAGTATTGGCGCTCGAACGCTGCAAGGCACGTGTCCGGGCGGCCCGAATATCAGGGCTGTCATTTGCAGACGGACTATTCAACGCTCTGGTTGATGATGTCGATCTAAATGCACAAATTCGTAAATCCGTCTTATTCAGGCGGATCCCCGGGCCTATGCATATTAGGGCAGAATTCTAATATCTGCCCGGCAAGTGCGGCCAGTATAACTCTGAGCTCGCGCGCGTGGTAAAGGTTAGACCTAGTGCTCGCGCGCTGAGCTTCAATGATACTGCTGAAGTTTTGCAGGTTGAGAATACTAGGACACGCAGTGAGTCTAGGCTGATAGTGCATCGGCGGTCACACTCTCATCCTATTCACCCGGATAGATTGCGTCAGCCTCCTGAGGTGATTGCAATGTCCGAGGAGAACGCTAGAATCCTAGCCGCCGCAACTCGGCAAATTGTACAGTTGTACCTAGGCTGGCCGGTCATTAAGGACATGCTTTTTATGCCTTTTTTTTGTGTGCTTTTTTTGGACCGAAAACCTTGTTTTTTCGCGTGCGCGTTCTTTGTCAAAACAATCCGTTTTTCGGAAGTGTTTTTTTTGCCGAAAATCTTGGGGAGGGAGGGGGGGGGGAAGAATTTTGGGATGCGCTCTTACTCCGAGGTGGCTTGAACTTGACTTGCGTTGCTGCATGGCCAAAAGGACCCCAAAGAAGAAAGTCAAGAGGGAAGGGGCGGGATCCGCTTGGGCAGAAACATGCAACTTGGCAGCCTACTGGTTACAATCGTTGGCCACCTTAGCAGCCGATAAGCAAGAAGCAAAAGGCCGTGCACGCGCAGCTGCTCTCTTTTTTTCCGGCATTGCCCCACGCCAATGGAAAAGAGATACAGCTGGACAGCGCCAGTGAGACCCCGTCATATGGCAGCTGCCAGGTTTGCCTCAGGCACTGGCGCTGGCTGCTTTCGCCTCAAAACAAACTGCGCGAGCGCAGTTTGTCATAAGCGCAAGCTGGTCCAACTTGCTGTTTAAATCACGCAGGGCCTCTTCAAGCCGCGCGTTCTTTTCAGCTGCTTCACGGAATTTCTGCTCAGCCTGGCGGAGACGGTCACACCAGTCCCGTGCACCCATGGTAGTGCTTTTG